GACAATAGTGGTGAGGGGTGGGGTAGTGGGGATGGGTGGCAGTTATGACGATGACAGTGGTAGGATGGTGGTCGGGTGGCTGGGAGTGGATGGGTATAACAACGACAATAGTGGCATGGTGGTTAGTGGTGGGGTGGAGTAGGGTGAGGGTGAGTGGCAGCTGTGATAGCGACAATAATGGTGTGGTGGTGGGGGTTAGGTTAGGGGCGTGACAATAACGGTAGTAGCATGGTCGTAGCAAGGATGTGCAATGAGTGACCGGGGGTGGGTAGGTGTGATGACAACAGTAATGGCATGGTGGTTAGTGGTGGGGTAGGGTGGGTGGTGGTGACATTAGTGGTGTGGTGGTGGTAGTAGGGGGTTAGGGGTGGGGCATCACAAACAGTAGTAGCATGGTCGTTAAGGGTGTTGATGGAATTCAATTCCTTCCATTATGCTAAGGAATGATGAATTCCTTAACTTGTGGAATTCATTGGAATTTGAAGGATTCCATCCATTTCAAGATATGAACCAAACAAAGAAATGGAATTTGGTCAAAGGAATTTATCATTCCAATTCCATCAAATTCCTTCGAATTCCGCGAACCAAACGGCCCCTTAGGATCCAACTTTTAAGCCCAAATATGATTTTGACCCAATATCTAAGCCCAAATCGCTAAATCATTTCTTTTGATTCATGCCCATTTTATAAACTCAGACTGATGGCAAAAGAACGTTGTCGTATTGGTGATCAGAAAAGTGCATATAATGGGTTCGTTGTTATACGAACAAGCTACATATTATTTGTAAATCCGTACAACAAAAAGAACAAACTTCCGAAATGTAATCCATATGAAACTAAAATTTCTTTATTTTTCATTGAGCCTGATCCCAATTGGTCATTCGTCTCTCTGCTATCGATTCCATTTAATCATTCCAGAATATAGAATCATATCTCGACACTTCATTCAATTTCATCAATGAGTGAGTCTAGCATTGACATTTGACTTAATAGGGTTGGGTTCCGATTAGAATGAAAGTTATGCTGAGAAGGGTTAAGAATGGATCTCCACCCTTAAATCAATCATAATTGAAAAGAACTACTAGATCAACAATAATGAGATAGACACAAGATCGGTTATTTTCTAAATTGCAATTCATGGGTTGTTTTAGGATTAAAAGTGATCAAATGTCCAAATCTCTTTCTACAATTCTCACCTTAACTCCTATTCTCACACAATCTTTCATCTCAACTTATAACTTGTTAATCTTGTAACATTTGATGATTGTGCATATCAAGTTTATTGTCCTTTTCACCCTAAGCATTTCGTAAACGAATTTCTACTTCATCACACGTTACAAAATCAACAGGTTATCGATCAAAATAAATGCAAATTAAGAATTTTTGAATCTTTTTACATCAATTGAGAAAACAAATTATTTGTTATGTTAAATATGAACTAAATCAAATTTTATTACATCCGACTCATTTTCCCCATATTTCATATGAATTAGATGAACGTGCATATATTATTCCAAAATCCATTTTTTATTTAAATAAGAGTGAATTACATAGATCGTCCTTCAAGTATACTGAAACTCTCATATTGTTCTGATTTCGTACTGGATATCCCATCCTAGGGTTTAAATTCCCATGCATGGTTCGTCCCTCCCTCTTACTTCCATCAAGTTGAGCCGTTAAATGCACTCACATGAGGGGTATTTTAGTCATTTTGTATTGTCTTTTTGAAAGAAAAAAAATGGTCTTTTTTCTGCTTCGCTTCGTGATCTTCGTGTCCAAGCTGCTTGAACCACAAATCCCTACCAAAAATGGAATTTAAAATAGAAAAACGAGACAAAAGAAGTCGAAATAGAGAATGACTTACAACTTTGTGAATCCAATTCCAGTTCCATTTACAAGTCTTCAGTTCCATAAAGTGTGATTCTGTTTCTAAGTCAAAATCTGAATGAGCAATCAGGTTTTCTAAAATCAATTTACCCACACATAATCATGTAGATAAGATAGGAACAAATAATCACACTAAGGGGTTGTTTATTTATCTATTAATAGTTATATTAAAAGATAACATCTGAATCGTTAAGAGGTAAATCTTGTTTGGCCAAAAAAAAAAAAAATTCTTCCTCTTAATGGTTCTAAAACCCGCTGAATGATTTTGTATCATGGATCTTCCTTAACCATTAAGAGCCCTAATTTCATTATACACAATTACCAAACAATTATATTTCATTTTACACTATATAATAAGAGCGTCATCATGATACACCAAACCATTCAACAATTGCCAAACAACCACTAAATTCAAAACAGAAACTGAATTAACGGATAGATTCAGCTGCTGAAATGAACAACCCCATGATAATGATAATGAAAGTGGTCGATATGTAAAGTATTCTGGTTGGATATTCAAAGCATATGAACTATGAAGCCGCCATTAGAGTAGACTGTAGAGGGTACAATTATCAAGATCCAGACATCATGCATTCATGTGATTGGGCCTAATGGGCTCATCGAACCACAATTTCCACCCCGATCCACTTTTAAGCCCAAATATTAATAGTTAAAGCCCAAATCGCTAAATTCTTTTGATTTTAATTTTATGGTAAATATCAGAAAAGGTATGGGTTCGTCTTACATGAACAAGCTACTACATATTATTTGTAACTCCCCATCCATACACCAAAAAACAACAAACTCACGAAATGTAATCCATATCAAACTAAACTGTTTTTCCCAACAACTTCTTTATTCTTCACTGGAGCCCGATCCCGATTGGTCACTCGTCTCTGCTGTCGATTCCATTTGATCATTCCAGAATATCGAATCATCCTCCGCCGTCTCATTTTGACCGGTTCCGACTTTGGAGGCCATTTGATGATCATCCCTCATTTCCAATTGATCGACTGTCGAGTTCCTTTGAGAAAAAGGCGGGGTGATGGACTCGTGAACGTGGGAGTGGGCAGCGGCAACAAAGATGGCTCCGGCACCTGATCCTCCATGAGAGTTCTCGATCATGACATTATCGGCTAGTGAGTTTCCCAGCATCTCCCACACACTGCTATGCAAATAGTTTCTGAAAACTCTGTAATGTTCATAAAGTCCGCCTTCCACTTTCACCACACTCTTCTTCTCGTTGATCCTCCCACGCTTTTTCATAATTCCAACAATGCACGCCCCTGCAAGACGAGCGCCTCTTTCCGCTACTATGTCACAGATTTCAGCCACGATTTCTCTCACTGATGGTGTAGAGGAAGCGATCTAAGATATGAAACAAAAAATGTATGCCAAATATTTCAGAAACCAAACAAACCCAATATATCCACCAAAGGTGGGGCAAAACGGATGTTTCTGGGAAGACCTTGGGCATGTGCAAATGTACGAAAAGATATTTCAAAAACTGAAAAGTTGGAAAAAGGGTTATTCTTGTTGTTCATGTTTTACCCCAAAAACTTCCAAAAGCTTTTCTTGAACGGTATCACGATTTTCTGTTGTATCTTGATGCATTGCAGCCATATCGGGTGACCTGTTTAGAAACATGAATTAGGCTGGCAAATTTCTATTGTGATGCAAACTAAAAACCAAACCCTTTTTATGTATGATGTTGGAAACCATAACCAAACTATAATCTTTATATATACATACATATATATATACACTACCTCAATGTGTAAGGGGTTTTGAGTTTAGAAGGAACAGTTTCTCCAAATATAGCAGTTTCTTTGGCCATTTTAAGCAGCACTCTCCTCACCACCTCTCCTAGATACATCCCTCCAATGAGTTTCTCAAACATCTGAAGTAAAATAACAAGTTAAAAACAAAATTGTAGTAAATGATCAGTATTTACTGCACAAATTTGCAGCTATATTCACTCAGATTCCAAATTAAATAGTTGCACAATATAAAAGAAGTGTAGTGATTGCTTATATATATATATATACTAACAATGAAGAAGTGGGAGTTTTGTACCCGAGATCCCGGATTTGTGCTTTCAGAGTCTAAAGCCATGTCGAATTCTGTTATAGGAAGATGTGGAGTATTGAAGTTACCCCATTGCATGTCAATAACCTGACATGTTTAAAGATTAGTTATCACAATGGGTTCTTTTCTGGATCTTCTAACTAGAAAAGCGAACAAAAATAGAGAGAAACCATTTCACTCAATTTGAATTCGTTTCCATTGGGGATCACATGAGCTGATTCCACATAAACAGCATTAGTAGCAAGCCCCAGAGTTACTGCAGCTACACATGCCTTGTTGAAATATCGACCTCCTGCCAGATCCCCTATGGTAGCATCCACCTGCCATCATACATTTATGACTTGTAGAATAGAACACATTACATAAATCAAACCAAACAAAACTGAAATATCCCACACAGAGACAGGATTTAAGCAGACTGTGCCACTACCTCAATAGGTAGGACCTACACAGACTTGTACACACAGAAAGGTTACCAAATGCATTTGGTTGTAGTTACAGTTTTTTTACATGGGACGAGCAAAACTTACCAATGCAGAAACCTGCAAATCTATTCCATGCTTTTCCAACGCAGCGTTGACTTCATTCGCCAACTCTTTCCCGGCCTGATGTAATGTAATTGTTAATTCTAATGAACTTTTTTACCTAATGCTCGTTTGTTTTCAGCAAGATCGGCACCTGTAGAGGGTAAACGTAAATACAAACAGCCAGAGGATTTGGTCTTTGTATTTACGTTCACATTTGTATCCTGTACCCTCCACAGGCGAAGAACCTAACCTTCCACTTCTAAATGAAACCTAACCAAATCAACCAAACCCAATATATCCAACACTACCCTAAGAGGGTAGCAAGAAGCTGTTTCCTGAAGACTCACAGCTTGCAGAACAAAAGCAAAAAAAAGAAGAGAAATTGCAAGAAGAAGTAGAATAGTATCATAGGGATATATGAAAAGAAGGGTAAAACTGAACTCAACTGCGTCATTAACAGCAAAGGACTTCCAACGTATAACATTTCCTTTAGTTGGTGATGCAGGTCCCTCAAGTAATGGGAAAGACACAGTGAAGCCCAATTTTCCTTTTGGAGCAATAGGGTTTTCTTTTGCATTTGTTGTGATGAATATCGCAAGCTTCAGTGCTATGAAATCAAACACGTCCTGAAACAGCGTTCAGATCCATGATCCAATCTTTCATAATCAATTTGGGCGATTAGATATGGTACAAATCTTATTACGTACGTACATAATTGCATGCAAAGGTACACAATTTATTGATGCAAAAGTAGGGGGTACCTTGGTGGAGCCAGAAATCACTTCAGGGGGGATAAGAACTTCTTCTCTTTCCATATCGGTGATTGGTTCGCTTTTCCCACTAAGCCGAGCACGCAGCATCAGGAAATTATCTTCACGTAAATTCACTCCGTAATACAAACCTTCCTCGTTACTATCACACGAGCAAAAATGAATCACAGATACACATAAAAACAACCGATTTTGTACATTTCGAAGAACAAATATATTCTGATTTGGATTTTGATCCACAATACAGATTTCAATATCTAACGTACAAGTAATTGCAATGTTATATTGGATACAAAGACTGATTTGGATGATTAAAATAGTTACAATCATATATTTCACAAATAGACTAGAAAATCCGGGGGATGTGACTAATTCCAATTTTCAGTTTCCTAATATTATTATTAGTATCCGTCCTAAATTACGATCTGAAATGTAGGTTTTGAAAAGAGTACCCGTGCGGAAGTGAAGAGGTGTAGCATGGATGCATGACGAAATCGGTCTGAGATTGATCGGAGAGGCTGGTTTGCATATCGGAAACCAAATCGAAAGCAACGTGCCATAATTTGGGAACCGGAGTGGCGCAGTCCTTAGCGAACTTCCGAAGTATCCTCTGTGTCTGTCTCCACCGTCTCTCGTCTCGCTTCCTCCAACGAACCAACACCACTCCAGCCACCGCCACCGTTGCGACGGCCGTTGCGACCACCACTTCTTTCCTCATTGTCAACTCCTTATGTAATCTCAAATTCCAAAACAGATAAAAAATTCATGGATGTCTTCCAAAGAATTTGATTAGTTTTTGATCATAGATCCAAAAAAGCAAACAAAAATCAATAAGGGAGCAGAACAGAAAGGAGAGCGATTTTCGTGGAGTGAAGAACGAGTCTTATGCCCTCACACTCTTCCAATTCATTACAACCGTTTTTTTGTTGGTTCGTTTGCTTCTTTCTAACAAAATTTAAATTAATTTGCTAATAATTAAACATTTTTATAAATAATTTTAAATTAGGGCTATTTTTGTCTTTTTGATTTATTTTTCTTTTTTGTATTTTAGTTTTTTTATTTAATAAAACTATATAATTTTTTGATAAAAAATAGATAAAAAAGATTATATTATTTTGTTATTA